AGAGAGAGAGGTCTTGATTAGTAGTATATTTTAGTGATTTTAAAAATGGATCGATGACCCTGATCGGACATCGCAAAAACTAGTCCAAATCAATGAATCGGCGGTATGGATTGATGTTTTACTGTGTGGAAAAAATAATGAACCGGTGAAATAACACGTGGAAAAACAGTGAACCGACCAAAAATCAGTCCAGATCGGTGAGTTAGCATTTTTACTATTGCAAAATGGCGTTTGACGGCATTTTACTGTAGCAAAACACCAATTTAATGTAGAAAATCGACGTTTCTCTTCTAGACCCAGACGATTTCTTATATATTGACATAATCAACACGGGGCCAATTGATTCTCGGATTGGACCAGGCAATGCCGTGCCGACCTGGCATTTTTTAAATGGCTGGTATATTTGGTCCTTTTCTCTTTCTCTACAGGGCACCACGGCAGCATTCAGTCTTGAGCAGCATTCGTCTTTTGGGGTGATTTTCTTTTGGGAACAGGTTATCTGGAAGCTTTTGGAGAGTTTTTTAGATGTTTGATTGTATATAAAATTGCCACAAGAAAATTGGAGAAAGAATAGCATAGGTTTTCTCTGGGTAATAACTCAAAAACTTCAGCTTTTTGTGAAAATTTGCATGTTTATTTTTTATTTTTGGTTGAAATGTTTGCTTTTATGAAAAATGATGATAATTCAAACGGCCCAAGACAAACCTATCTCGTAGTTCATATTTTGGCTCATTTGAGTGGGTGGATTAGAAGGAAATATTTCTATTTTCTGAATAGAATTTCATCAATCTTTTTCTTGAAATGGAAGCAAAAGGAGGAAATATTTATGTAAGAACAACATAAATTTTCATAAAACAAACGAAATCACCCTAGTCACCACGTTATAGTTTTGATTCCCACCACTAACAGCACCCCATTAGCATCTTCAAAAAGTTAACTTTTAATCTATTTGAAAAAAAAATAGAGGTCTGTCTTTCCCATTGAATTACCCAGAAAAAAAAAAAAAAAAAAAAAAGTTAGTCATGTCTCTCTTATTTTCTTTTTTCTTGCGAGAATATGCTGAACTTGAGGTTAATGGCTGGATGGATACTTGAATTTTACCAGGTTTCTAGGATTTTGCTAATTAGGTGCATTTAAGGAAGGAATCACCACCAGGTTTAGGTTTATGCATGGACCCGTCTTGTCATTCGGCGTTCAATAAAAGGTTAAATAACTAGATATGTTGGCCGATGTCAAAAACACCAAATATGGTTAAACATCAGCAATTTCGACGTTTACAATAGCACTTATATGTGTCGATATATCGTTAACAATGATTTGAAAAATGGATCGGTGATTAGATCGGGCATCACAAAAACCATTCCAGATCGATAAATCGGCAGTCCGGTTCACTGTTTTACTATACAAAAAAATTAGTGAACTAACCAAGAACCGATTCAAATCGGTGAATTAACATTTTTATTGTAGCAAATCGCCAGTTTTTTTTTAGACTCAAGACGATTTCCTATATATTGACAAAAATCAGAATGGGGTGACCAATTCTCGGGTGTAATTTCATACCAACTTGGCTTTTCTCTTCTAGACTCGAACGATTTCCTACATATTGATAGAAAGCAGCATAGGGTGACCAATAAATCACTTATCGTTAGCAACAAGCAAGTGATGTAACACACATTAATTATGTGTTTCTTAAGAAACTTACTCGTTGTATCCACTGTGAATGATCCTATGTATTATCAGTGCACCATCTTAGGGCGTATTTGAATGTCCATTCTAACAAGGAAAAACAATCTCAATACCTATTAATTGGGGGAGTTAATATTTTTAAGCTGGCTTAATTTGTTTTTGGGTTCATTTTCTTTCTCTTCTCTACTTTCTCTCGCCTGTGTCTCTATCAAATTTATTCCTCTGTGGCGAATCTTTCAAAACCCTCTATTTTGAAAGAGAAAGAAGAGAGATGAATAGAAAAAACGAGAGAGAAGTTTGAGATGATTTGAGAAGCACCCCCTCACCTCTCAAAATTCAGGCTAGCCAAAAAAATTCAAAAGAAAGGAAATCAAATCTTGATTCTTAAAAGGGAGAGACCACCATCACATTAGAGAACCTAGCTTTCAACTTTAATTAGAATTTGAATTGATGATTATAAAACTTAAAGCAAGAAAAGAAAAAGGGTAAGTCCAAATAGCATATCACATGCCTACTACCCTCCTTTTTCTTTTTGGGCAGTTCAGTGGAGATTGGGTATCATGTCTTTGATAGGAATGAAATTCCAAACATCATGTTATAGCTCCTTGTCACCCTCACCACCTAGAGCCCATTCCTAGCCCACCACCATCCCTGATCATCTTCTCCCTCCATCCCTCTTCAAGACAATTATTATCGCCATTATTTTCCAGATCTTAGTTATCAAAGGTTTGATTGCCACGGTCATGGTTGGAAGCTATTGGGTTCACTAGAGAGAAGGGGAGATTAACATGTTTTCGTTGGTCTAGATGGGGATAGAAAGAGAGGGAAAATGTTTATATAAGGATGCATACTTAGTTGTAAAGTAAGATTTGAGTACCGTAAACCCTTTTTTTAGTTGGAATATGTGGATTTGACATTATCTTAAAAAAGGTGCGATATTATTTTAAAAATTGTATAAAATCTACATTGTCCAACTAAATTAAAGAAACAAACCCACTTTTCATGTTTGCTACATCTTCATCAATCTTGCACCATTGCATCTGGTGAGGGTAGTAATGGTTCACGAAACTTCTTCTCTCAAGATGTTCTTCTGTGAAGAATAGGGTTGGGGTACAAGTATGAGAGAGAGAGAGAGAGAGAGAGAGAGAGAGAGAGAGAGCAGGGGAAGAAAGCTTCCGTGAAGAATAGGTCACAAGACAGAAAAATAGAAAAAAAAGAAAAAGGTCTGTCGTGAAGACAAAGAGCATAGGCCAGAGTAGGTAGCGGACGTCTTTCCTCTCTTTTTTCTCCCGCTTGTCTCTTGCCTATTCCATAAAATTCTACTTTCCGTCTCTTTTTTCTCCCGCTTGTCTCTTGCCTATTCCATAAAATTCTAGTTTCCGTCCTAGAGCAGGTTGTGCGTCACTCCAACCCCGATTTGTGTTATATGATTGTGGAAGAGAAGGAGCTACATTGGGTTGGTTGTAAGAGGCTTGGCCGGGGCAGAGGAGGGCTTTCAAGCGGATGTTATTGGAGGAGTCTTTGTGTGGCTTAGTGGGGCAGCTGGTGGTGTAAGATCCCTCGAGGTTAGGGTTAATGCTATGTTTGATAGTTAAAATTGGTCACGCATAGATATAGGGAGCACACTTTTGACGCCCTGAGGAAGCATTTTAGAAGGCGAATTCTCTTCCTGTCTTCCTCTTAGCATAATTTTTTAGTGAGTCTGTTAACTGGTACTAAAATGCTCTAAATTTCAAGGGTTTCAGAACAAACCCATTTCAATGTAGAAAGCATGAAATCTGAATATCCACAAATAGATAGACCAGTTGACAATTGTAATATAAAATTGAATGACACCAAATAATGGGCACAGAGATCAATTTCAAAGGCTCCAAATTCTACCATTCTTTTTTTATTATTTTTCTTTCTGATTCCAAGGTGACAGATTTGTTTAGTTCTAGAACCTCTTATTCCATCTCCATGAGAGATTAGATGCACTAAAATAAATGAATCATAGTAGAATGATAACTATTTAAATTTTAGATCCTCAATTTCTCTCCAAGATGGATTCTGAAAAGTATGCATACCCTAGAAGGAACCTAAACCTTGCCATGAGATACATGAAAATAGGGATTGTATACTGTAAAATCATCTATCTATGGAATAAGGAAGTCAACTAATCCTAACCATCAAATATCAAATAGGACAGTTTAAAGTATGTCGTAGAGTTCAAAAAAAATTTCTTTGAACTTTGAGCCTAATCAATCACACACTCAACATTCCAATTTCAAATCTAACAACTAGAAATGATTGACCTCGTACAAAAGATAAATGGTATATTTCTATAAAAATAGGTTCCTCATTTTAAAAAGAGGTTTCACAAATAGAATCAATGGGATAAGCCTCTTTCTATTCATGTCTGATGCATGCATGGTACACATGCTGCATTTTTTTCAAAAGGAGTACCACTCAATCTATTTTTCTGAAATCACCCACAAGAGAAAAACTTCCATGACAAAATATCGTTAGTTGAATACTTCTTCAAATATGCCACATAAAGTTGAAAAAAAATTAAGCAAAGACATAAGAAATTATAACAAAGGGAATGATCCCTGCCTTGGTGCTTGGTGTGTAAGCACATCCACACATAATTAAAGAACAGAATGCCAGCAATTACTTTTGAGATTACAGAACAGAAAAAAAAAGGGAATAATACCCAATGAATTACACAACTCGGATCCAGCATGTAGCCATGCTACATGCCTGTCTCTCTATTGGGCCGTCTGTACACCCATTCTCTCTCGTAATGCCTCCAATTACACATCTCCGTTCGCAGTTCTCAATGCTTTCCATTGCCCACTGTTTCAGTGATCCATGAACCAACTAAACCAATCAAACTATCACTGATTTCCAAATCTGGCACTGTGTATGAGTTTCTCTCTCTACCTGTATAGAATTCTTTCCACTAGTTTCTCTGTCGATGATTTTGTCTCTCTCTACCTGTTCAAGCTCGCAACAACTGCTTCTGACATGCCAATACCTTTTGACTGGCATAAGGCCCCTCAGAGGTGTCATAGGTAGAAATCCTCCAACCCATGGCGTTTCCTATTAGCTTGACTTCCTCGAGAACAGGCCGCAAGTCCCTGATGTATGCGTACCCACTAGGCCTAAGAATGCGATCCATCTCTAGCAAGATGCTCGATATGTTGCACCTGAGTATGATGACAAGATTTAGAATATGAGCTCTCTCTCTCTCTCTCTCTCTCTCTCTCTCTCTCTCTCGCAAATGAGCTTTACACCACTAGGATTTCACATGCTCAAACCAAGAAATATAAAACAATGAAGCCTGACCTTTTCCGCTCAATGGAGAAGAGGCCATTTGCGTGCAAGAGATCATAGGTTCTGGGATATGTATCAAATGGCTCACACCTGGATATGGAAGTTCCAGCCATTAGTCTAGTGAACAGAAATTTCTTCACATTTTCTATGTTTAGACGTTACAACTAGAATATAGTGGAGGCATCTATAAAGAACATATCCATGACCACCACAGTACGTGGAATTTGGCATTAGTTAGGCTCCAGAAAACATGAACATAAAGGAATGAGAAACAGAGATGGGTTTCTTTCTGCAATTATCCAACCTCAGATGCCTCAAAACATCTCATGTACCAATAAATAAATTGTTCTAAACTGCATGAAGTTAGTTTGTACTCAAGCAACTTCAAAAGACTCTTTAACACTTCCCAATAATTCAAATTTACAAGTCAACAGGATAGGAATTGTAAGTATCCCAAGTTTAGTAAATAGACTGCTAATTAGTAAGTTATGCGATTAGATACAAATATCAACTTTAAAATCCAATCAATTCGATTAGCATCTCAATTCAATAGCATTAGTCTTTAGATTTAATGAGATCAGTTACTAGCAGTCCTCAAAATCCAATGGCCACATCTCTATAGAAAATACAAAACTGCTCTAATATTCTGTGAGTGATGCATGCAACATGCACAGAATTTACACTAGACATGCTTATAATGGAGTAAAAATCGTACAGTTACCGCATCCAAGAACAAATAACTGCATGAGTTACAACTAAGGAAAACAAGTATAGAACAAAACCAAACGAAAATTTAAGTTCATATCCACCCAAGAAACTCAAAATCTCGGCGATTTTAAACATAAGTTATGCAAGATGAAGAACATTATATAGATACTGCATTACAATTGTATTTCAACCAGTCAGCATGAATTACAACCATATAAAACCATAGTAAGTTTTCACATAATAATGTTAAGAAAAAGAAGAAGAACACAACTATGACAACAACAACAGAAACAGCAACAATAAACTAAAAGAAAATACAAAACAAGAAAAGGATGAGAAAAAGCATTAGAATTCACCAATCATGGATAACACCAATAAGTCCTCGATCATAGATAACAGGCAAGGTGTTGGGTCCACTAACAGGAACAACATTCATGACCCAGCAATCCATATGTAGATCATACATTGCTTCTGCAAACCTGGCATATCAAAATATAAATTATTAAGACAACTACTTATATAATGCAAAATGAATGTTTCTCAAGAAGCTAAAAGCATATGACTTTCATATATAGGAAAGCTAAAGCAAATTATAATCCAATGGACAACAAGAAACCATGCCGCATTGGATTATCAGCGTCAGAAGATGGTGGATGGTGATGGAGAGTGAGAAGGACCCAGTAAAACATGACATGACCCCAACGGTCGGTCCAACACTCTCACCTACAGGCATCCAACATTTCAACGACAGTGAGGACCCAATGCACTGGGTTCTCCACTACATTCCTGGGTTATAGTACACTTCCCCGTGGGAAATTTGCAGCCTCTCTCATCTACCATAAACAATATCAAAAAGAGGTCAAATTGTAATATCATCCAAAATTGCAGCAGTCAGTCAAAGTGGGTAGCTTTGCAAAGAGAAGGTAAGACCATACCCTCCAAACCCTGCCCTCATATCCATCACATTTCGAAAATGCAGTTTCTTCCAATGATAAGCTCGTACAAAGCTTGCTATAATATCATTCCAATAACCTGTTTCTGCCTTGAAAAGATCCTTTTTGGACACATAAGCATCCATATTTACAGACTGCAATCGATCTGGAGGACCATGCAAACGTGCAGGCCAAGCTGTTAAATTCCCTCCATACCCAGTCTCAGGCAATCGACTGATGCATCCCTTGAGGTTTACATACCTATAACAATCATTAGGAATATTTATTCTAGGAACCGATCAAATCAGAACAATGTAAATAATGCTGAGAAAACAAGGAATTGTGAACTTCCAAAAGCATTATTTTCAGTAGCCTAGCATGCACAACTATCAGGCAATAATTTGAAGAACGTCCCCAACAACACGTAGCAACCAAATACGTTCAGATATCCAGCTGCTTTTACATCTTATAGCATGTAAGAGAGCAGATTTCTGCAAACCAAAAATGTCACATGACATTTCCAAAAATGTCTCATGACATTTCCAAAAATGTCTCATGACATTTCCAAAAATGTCTCATGACATTTCCAATGTCCCCCTTCAAAGGGGCGGTTCGATATTTGTACATGTAATATCTTTGTGGATTAGTAATAAAATGCGTAGGGTCTCATCATCCCCACTAATTTAACCAAAAACAAACATGTAAGAGAAAGCAGTATGCTTGGGTTACATCTTATAAAATAAGCATGCCCAAGATCTTACATATTAAGCATGCACCCAGGAAGTATAACAGTGGATACTCCAGCAAAGGTGAATGTGAAAATATCTTCATAAATAGGAGATCCACTAATGATGCAAGACATAATTGATGGCCGATGGAAGGCTTGCTCTACATTGTTCATTAGTCAAAAAGAAGAGTGACACCATATTTTCATGGGTGTTTTATTAGAAGATTGCTCAAGCTAATTTTCTGTATGTGATTTATAAGGTTAGTCAGTTCATGACATCTACACAATGGTCACATTAGGTCTCAGGATTATTAGTCATACCAAGACAAGTCTATGCAAAGATCTTGTAAGGTCTTCTTTTTTATGACTCCAACTGAATTTTCATATTGATTTTGATTAGGCTGTCATCCTACTGCCTAAAGAACAAAAGGATTTTAGTTTTATCAACAGAATTTTGCATGTTCCTCAGGTGTTCCCTTCCTTCTTTGAGACCAAAAAGAATATTAGTTTCTAAATCCACTGCTATAATGGAAATAGAACCTTGTTTACAGAATGTACTGAAGATTCTTTGCTTTGTGCACTAAAAGGACGTTGGAGCCCGCTCACTCAACATAAGCGCCATATATTTTGGTTACCCCCTTTGTCATGAGTAGACAGTGCACAATGAAGGTGATTTGTCATTTTAACAAGAAGTTCTACTTCTCATGTAATGAAGGGACACCAAGCCTGTACTGGAGCACAATCTCCATATATTATCCAACAAAATCACCATCATGATACTGCGATTACAATCCTAGGTTCCCAAGCATAAATAGTTTGTTGTCGTCCCGTAATTTGCTATACTTAATATTTGAATCTCAATAAAATTTTGCAGTATATTGTCTGGAAAAAAGTTAGATTATTTCAAGCCATGTCATTGTGCTTTGTACAGGAGCAGGGATGTTAAGATATTTTACTCCTACTCTCCGAGTACCATGAAAATAAAATTCTGTGCATATGCATGTTAAAAGCATGCATATCCCACAATCTTGGTCATACATTAGATCAGCAGCCACCCTTTGAATTATTATTTCTATACGACAATACCCCCTACCATCTATGAGTAGACTCCACGCTCCACCCAAAAGATATGCTCTCTGTCATCTTTTCTTTTAACTTATAAGTAACAGATGACTCATAAAGTTGAAAGCATACATGGAAACTGTTTCTAGAAATTATTTTCGTCTACATTCCAATATCAAGTAGCAAAGCAAGTGAAATAAAGAAATACCAGACACTATCAGGGTCATCATCTGCCTCACATAAGGGAGGCTTAACACCAACATCACGGCTTAGATAACAGCTGTTGTTTCGAGGCTTTTGCCAAATGGCAAGATAGCCCTCCTTCTTCACAAGTTGCCAGCAGATCCGAGCAGTAAGGTCTTCCATCTCTGCACAGCAAAAAGCATCAGGACAACATTTAAACAAATTGAAAAACCAGCTTGATATATTGCAATTGAACGCATCTGATTAAAAAATGAAGTCCAAAGGATTATCTATAGAGAGTCTGGATATATGATTTACCATGAAATGTAGTGATACCAAGTTACAAATTAAAGACAAAAAACTAAGTAGACATACCATCTTGTAAGCCTACATCTCCTGTACAGGAAACCAATGAGCCATGCAGTAACACTAATTTGTGGCAGAAGCTTGGAAAACATTCATAAGAATCCGCCAAGACATGATTCTTTTAGGACCATCGATTAACAAACAAAATATCCTAATTTATTCAATGAATCTCGCCCATGTAAAAGCATTTTAAAGTTCAGCTGCAATAGCTGAAGCTGATGATTGATCATGTTCCTTTTCACTGGAATCTCTTCTGAAACACGCTCCATCAGATGGATGGCCATGACTGTGATTGGTATCAAAAACTATAAACAGCACATCTCCTTCCAGTTTCCACCAAGGAATCTGGGGAGATCATACACTGCCAATGTAGGTCTGCCAATTTTTGGAATAAGTGATAAGCCATTCAGACTTGAAAGCACCGAAACACTGTAAAGAAACAGAAATGAGGAAATTAACAACAAAGATGAAAAGGTAAGTAAGTCACCCCACAATATTAGTTGTCCCTCCCCAATAAGTCAACCAGTCTGCCTAGAAAGGTACCTATTATCAGGCCCATAAAGTTCATCTTAAGTGCTCTCAGGAGGAAAAAGTACAATTTTGTTCAAGCTTTTAGCTGATATGCATGCTGATGAATGCTGCCTCACAACCAGTCGAGATTCAAATTTTGAGAGCCACCATGGAGAGTGGAGAGGCATACAAATCAGAGTTTGCATGAATCAAGTTTACATCATAACCATGGATAAAATCTCTGTCTGTGACTTAGATGAATCGCTAGCCCACTCTCCGACTTAGATGAATTGCTAGCCCACAAAGATCTGACGCTGAAACAAAATTTGAGAGCTACCACGGAGAGTGGAGAGGCATACAAATCAGAGTTCACATGTCTCAAGGTTACATCATAACCATGGATAAAACCAGATTAATTTCAGGGATGACAGGAGGGCTATGTGTTATTATGCAGGTCATTTGTAAAGTCAATGGTAACTCAAGCACAGAGAGTGTGAACCAAAGGACAGTTTAAATTTGGGGATTGGCCATTTCTTGGTATTAGGAGTGGGTCTGATCATGAAAATCATAATATCCCCTCCAAAGTGAAACCTGGCTCAGAAAACATTTCCCTCTTAAGGGAGTGGAACACAAGAGCCCAACTTCTACTCTTTCTGTTTTATTTTTTGATAGTTTACAGTGGTTTTTTGTAGAGGGTGTTGTGTGTGTATTCACTGCAGATATCCTCAGCAAAAAGAGTTGCCTGCATTAGGTTTTGTCAACTACTATGAATATGTTAAAGTTAAAATGAAACCCACAACTTGAACCACTAAAGTAGTCTGAACAATGACACAACAGCCTCACAAAAATAATAATGGGTCTTTCACATACTACACAAAGACTGCTGCAACCCCTCTACAGAAATTACACCTTTGATGATGGGGGGCTAATACTGTTGAGGACTTCGTGTCTCCTATAAAAGCACAGCAGTGCTAACAGTTTCAGAGCAGACAGTTCTAGCCTTGTGTCAGGTTATGAGGAATAAAAACGATCAGTTGTCCAACTTACTCTCCCAGCTTCTATAATCTAGTGGTTCAGTCCTCCCCCATGAACTCTGTCAATTGTTATTAGGCAAGTCAAATATGAAATCATAACAAAGGAAAATGAGGTAAGTCCAGGGGTAAGGGGCAAATATAGAGGGAAATAATGTTTACGCAGCCAGGAGCCAGGCAGCAATTAAGGAGAGACAACTTTTAGAACAAAGGGAAGACGTCAAGATCGCCTGGGATATTACAGGATCCTTGTAGCATTAATTCAAGGGATGAGTACACATTATTTGCTGATAATATATATGAACTATTTCTTTGCTTCTTTTTTTCTATTTTCTTTTTTTACGGTTTATAATCAAAATCAAGTTAGTGTTTTACATCAAACATATCTCCACATTACTTAAACCATAAAAAGGCAGCTTATTCTCCTTAAGTCACAGAGAACCAAAATAAGGTTCTTTTCAGCGTAGTTCTCCCATATTCTCTAATTCAATTCCACTTCTTTCAGCCATTCTATTAACAAACGACCAGATATCATCTCTGTTTTTGTAAAAATAAAAATAATAAAATAATAATAATAATAATAATAAAAAGAGAGAGAGAGAAAAGACCACATATCATCTCTGTTTTAGTAACAAATTTGGTTTGAGAGGTTCTATACATTCGATACATGAGTTTTCTTTTAATTCCCAAACAATAAAGTGCGATAAACAGAGCCGACACAAAATAAAGAAAATGCACAAACCTACATGCAGTATCTCAATTTAGCACTTAATGATGGCAAAATGGTAAAAAAAGATTGTGTGACCTAATGAAACACGAAACTAATGACATGAACAAATTTAAGATGGTAACCAATATATTGATATTCCTTAACACCTAGGTTCTAAATGATTACCTTTCCATGCTTCTTGCAAATTCTCTTCGTGTTTATATACTGGTTGTGCTGCCCAAGCAAAGTAGCCTCCAGCCCTCAGCATTCTATCTACTTCAACAAGTAAAATTCCATCTGCACCAAATGCCAAAAAGCATGCAATTTTGAGGACCATTAACCACATCAGTATTCCCATTAAGTAACAAAGTCCCATTACAATTTTACACAAGTATGCTTCCAATGGACAACAGATATGTGTGTGCCAAAAAGCATGCAGTTTTAAAGACCATTAGCCACATCAGTATTCCCATTAAGTAACAAAGTCCCTTTACAATTTAATTATGAATAACTCATGCAAGGATGAACATATTGCAGTTCACACAAGTATGCTTCCAATGGACAACAGATTTGGGTGTGGATGGAAGAAGCCACACTCTTAGAAAAAGAAAAACGAAAACCCCTGCAATCTGTCTCAGAGAAAGAGAAGACGAAGTCAAAGAGAGGTGAACGGTTTACAGAGAGGGGGTTGAATACCAGGGAGAGATGAAGTTGTGTGTGTGTGCGAGAGAGAGAGAGAGAGAGATAGAGATTCGTTAAGTTTCGGTGATTTACACAATTTTCAATGAATTTCAGCAAGTTTGAGAATAAAAATTGCAGCTAAACAACCCTCAACCACATTTCAATTGCTTCAACTACAAATCAGTTTTAATGTAGTTTAGCACATGGCGATCTACTATTAAAGAAAAATACTGATTGATTTTAGTTTGCAGCCAAACATACACTTAAACTGAAACATGGTCCTTTGAACAATCAATTGTTCGTCATGAACTTTTCCCCTTTTTCCCTAAGGAAATTTTTTTTAAAAAAAGCAAGGATAAAAGCATTACATCCCTCAAACAACCATTTATATTTCAATTAATAATAATTAAATTTTATCTTTTGAAATTTCATTCAATGTGAATCTATTGATAACATCTAATTTACTGTGTGTCACATGGTACCTTTTTTTTTTTACGAAAAATAATGTTTAAGTAGTTAAGCTCAAAAGCAAAACCATACAGCACCATTTTCCCTCCACCCCAAAATGAAACCATCATAATTGTGGTTGCCCATGGTTGTGAGTTGGCTTGTCAAAGTAATAGAAACTGTAACCATAGGTTTAGGGTTATCATTGAAATCTCCAGCAGCGGTTGACATAAGTGAAATTGGCAGGAATGACCCAAGGAATGCATGGTCAGGTTGGCAGGGCAATAACAAGTCTGGTGGCTCCCATACCTACCCACTATACACATCACCTTTTTTTTTTAAAATGAGTTAAGCCAAGCTCTCCAAATTACATGACAGTGCCTAAAATAGAAGATCGCAAACCACATGAATCTGACACATCATCTTACTTCCTCCAATTCATCTTTGACAGGATTCTTGAGGATCCATGGACATGGATTGAATGGACTCCTTACCAATAATGTTGGCTGACTCAGATGATTCAACATAGCCATCTCAGCACCACTGTCATCATCCATATAGAAATTATCCCAGCGGCCATCTCAAGTGTTTGCACAGTTCCTTCTTGAGTGTCTCGAGAGAATCTACAACTTCTTAGGTTCGGTTATTCCAAGCTCCTTTCATTTCATTTGTAGGTGAGAATGTATCAGTATTTCCAGACCATTAGCAAAGATACAAGGTAACACATGAAATGGTCTATACTTAAACTCTACAAGTACAATCAACTAAACCATATCTACTCATATAGCTATGTGAACTTCAACACATACATGAAAAATTTGAACAGGCCTAATTTAGCCCATCTGCAGCACAATAGCAGGGTGGCATCGAGATATAAAGAGGAAAAGGAAACCCGTACCATCACGGGTCCAGTTGATTCGACATCGTGAGCAATGTATCAAGTCAAAAGCCTGGCTTGGATACAATAGTCGACGTGTGGCAAAGACAGACACCATAGCAGGAACACCACGTTCAAGGGCAAATTGAATCTGATTCTCATGGACATCTTTTGGTGCAATTGACATGGTTATCACATTTCGTGCAAGCAGAAAAGCGCCAAAGCTTGCAACCCCACACCCGACATCCAAGGCAACTCTTGTATGAGAGCCAAATGCTATTTCTGGAACCATCTGTATGTTTGCGTAACGAAAGTTCAGAACTCAAACAAGGTCAAATGTCATGTGTAATAAACAGCATATCCTTTGTTTTCTCTATTTTCTATTTTGTTATGAACTTAACCTCTTGCCTTTTCCTTTTTTGCCAAAGTTGAACAAATTTTAGGGTAAACAAATATATTATTTTCCCTTATCAAGACAAACTCAGGAAAGGTCATTAAAAACCTGAGAGATCTGACCCAAGTACTGATCTGCTCCATGGATAAATTGGGTTCCTCCTCCGGGAAATTTGAATTTATCTTTATCTCGAGAAATCCAATTCTGCCCTCCTTTGTCTTCAACAAGCCGTGTATGTGGTACATTGCTGAACCATACCTAGATGACAACCCAAAATCAGCATATGAACTTCAAGCAATGAGAACAGTAGCTTCAATGACAAATATTCAGAATTTAAATTTCAATTAAATACCAATTAGGTAAATGAAGATTCATACCAATAACAGAAAGCCCATGCGAAACAATAAAGATGAATAAAATTTTAGACAGGAGATGATAGTAACAGCACAGAAATACTAAGTTCGCTCTTTAAAAAAAATAGTAAGTGAGAAAACTTCACCACGAAAAATAAAAATTTGAGGGCCATTGTTTGACAAACAACAGAGTCGATGTACATTATGAATTAATTCAGAAGATCATGTAGGTAAAGCTGTGGAAGTTGCAATACAATTGTTCCATGCATCAATGAGAAAAGATGATGCGCTCTTTCAAGTCATGCATTTATAACCCCAGGTTCACAGCAATTATGGCCACAATTGCTTCTTATTTTCTTTTTGAAATCCTTGTTTTGTAAATATTGTTGCTAATAGTGTGCTTCACATTTTTCGGAAATTCATATTTAAAAAATAATTCTAATTTATTATTATATAATGGATCGTTTATTTCATCACTCGTAGGAAAAGGAACCAAAGGCAGTAAAAAATACTGCAGCAAACCCAACCACCGGATACTAAGAGAAAAATAAAAAAATAAAAAACAAAGCCTATGTCTTACGACCATGAGAGAGAGAGAGAAATCACCTTTGCTGATAGGACCCACATTGCCCCAACTTCCAAGTAACATGAAACGACGAGCACATTTAAAACTTAATTGAACAAAAATAAATAAGAACAACATGTAAAGATGTTGTTCCCAACCCAAAGAAGAAGATGCACAACCACTGTAGAAAAAATTTGAACTAGGAAATTTTTTTCACAATAAAAAATGAATTTAGTAACACACTTGGCTCCTTAGTTGAATAGTGTAAGTACGATATTGATTTCCTAAGTACGAAGGCGTCCAAAAACTACTACTGATCACCATCAAACTTTACTAGATTCTATAATTCCATTTTGTAAACAGAAGTTGGCCATGTTACCAAGCAAACCACCTCTACGGCCTTAGTCAATTGTGCACTGTAAAACCAAATCGCAAATTATCCGTTAAAGAGAGAAGAAGTACACGAAAATTAGAAAGAAAACAAATTAAATACCTGGTCTCGACTTTTTGGCCATGGAATGGGGGTCCTATAATCCTTTGGTGCTGGAACCAAGCAATCCAAACCTTTCCCCTTCTCTGGGCAATGCCTCTCATATTTCTCCCCCTTCTCTGTGGAATTAAGCTTCTTAATGGCCTCAACATTGTCCAAACAAGGAATGTACTCTCTCATACTGATATCGCAGAGTTTAAAATTCTTCACTGCAACCAAACCAGAACCACCGTCAATCTCTATATCTCTGGTCTCATTTTCCCAATCCTTAACCAGATCTGGATCAAAATCCCCCACATCAAAGTTATCCGTCATTGTTCCACTTTCATCAACCACTCCATAAGTTTCAGGAGACATTGGAGGAGGCGGAGGAGGGCGTGAAAGAGGAGGAGGAGGATATGGTGGTGGATCTTGTTGAATTTTCGCAGGTTTTGGACTTGAATCGTTCTCTGTGAAGTTCGAAATTAGAGCTGAAACGTTTAGGGTTAGGTTTGAGTTCTTGGAAATGGAGATGGATGGTGGTTTCTGAGAATTTGCAGAGAAGAACACCAGTTGTTGATAGCCATCGGACCAGTGCTTTCCAATGAAGAAGAACGAGAGAGAAGCAAGAATTAGGGCAGAAAATTTCAGAAGAGAGGGGAAATGGACGAGTTCTCCATAGCCAAAAGCCTTCATAGTTACAGAGCTCTCACCCACTGTAATGAGAAACTGGCGGTATGTCTCTCACTTCTATGGCAGAACCACGCTGCCTTTATGTATGACATGTGTTTAGGATAAACAACCCATGACATTTTAATGAAGGACGAGTTTGTCCATATTCATAAAAAAGACGAAAAGTCCCTTAGAATGTTCCCCTAAGACCCTGAGCACTCGTCTTGGCGTGGATCGAAGTAAAAAAAAACGACAATTTCGTACATAGCTCTAATTCTTCATCTTATCTTACATTATATTTTTTTATTATTTTTCTTTCAAATGGCATAAAAAATCTTTTAAGTATTTCATCATACCCTATTATTTCTTTTCTCTTACATTAATTCACTTTTGGCCACAAAAACTACTCCCAACAAATTATTTTATTTCATCTTAATACAAAAACTTTTTTTAACTTATTGGAAATAAAAGTGTTGGAAATAAATAAGATAGAATAAAACAATTTGTTGGGGCTAATTTTTGTAACCAAAAGTAAATAAACATAAGAGAGAAAAGATAAAGGGATATGGTGAAATACTTTGGAATTTTTTTAGGCTGTCTTAAAAAAAAAAAAAGAATGAGAGTCTACCGTGAAATCAGACGAGGAATCAAAGGTCTATATGAAGTTTTCCCTAAAAAAAATTCAACAAGCGGTTTTCGTTCCATAAACCATAGAGCTAACCAACAATATCATTATTATATTGTATTATAATATTATGTATTAGGTAGATCGTCAATGTAAAAGTTTATCAAAATTTATAATGAATCTCAAAGCAGACTATGATTTGTGTAGCTGACCCCAATTAGTTGGAAAAAAAACTTTGATGATGATAATATTGTATTATATATTATAGTTTGTATAAAGTGTAAATCTTAAACAAAGCAAGGCTTATTTCTAAAAAGATACAGTTAGCATGCGACCAGTCCGCATATTGTAGAAATACCGGCTTAGTAATAAATATATTTTTAGAATATAATTTGATCCTAAGTTTTAGATAAAACATAATCTTTAACATGGAGATCATGAATATGAAAAAATAATAATAATTATAAATAATAATTATATTAAGAAAATATTTGAATCGTTAGTTACTATTGTTTTTAGATGAACCACCTATTTGCATCCATCTTTAAGATGGATGCTTTATACCTCTAGATCGTATATTGTAGAAATGTGGTCCAGCCCGTATGAAATAATTGTTCATTTCTAAATCATGCTAGAAGATGTAGTTTGGGTGTCAAAAACACCTACGATGCCCTAAAAAGTTATTTCACACCTAATTATGGTTTAGATCCAGTAGATCTACAAGCATTCAAAAGTTTAAAAAATGGACGGTCTAGATAATATGTCTCGAGATGTACTATTTGAGGACTTGAAATCTATTTTTTTAGTATCCATACATCTCAAGATCAAGATGATCAATTGTAGGATTTTTCAACATCGTAACAACATTCTCGGATGGAATTTTTAGGTCCACCTTTCGTTTGTAGTATAAGGTTGACACCTTATATATATATAATAGAAACCTCTTTACAGTTGTTTGTATAGATTTATTTTTTATTTATCATCCAATTTTAATTTGGCATGCGATTGGGGCGACAATGTCACATTAGAATTAGATATGTTCATTAACTCCAATTAAGTGTGTAAAACTCTTCTAAAATTGTCGGATCCCATAAAAAAACTCTTCTAAAATTATTCAATACTAAGTAGTTGTATTTTCATAGTTTAGAAACCGTGGCATTATTTACATTTTCCATTTTGTTGATATGAATAGTTTGGGTCGTGAAGAAGGGGAGTTAGTCGTCACATGGCATAGTTTGGCATGTAGTATGTCCCTATCTCTCTCACTATCAATGTCATATCAATTGATTGCATGGTGATAAATTAATGAAATTTTGCTGCCACAAATTGTAGGACACATTTTGAATAGTGGCATAAGGCTAGGTATTCAAGGTGGCATGGCGCGATAATATGACTTTTTGATTTTTATTCTTATTACGGGTCTCCATTAAACTACCTAAAAAAAGAAAAAAGTTTGTTGAAACTCTTAATTACAAGGGCGATGGTCAAATCCCTCTGGTCAATGTCAGATCGAAATTCTAAAGTTTTGCAACCTTAGTTACTTATCTACTCGAACTGGAGCCAGAACAATTTTTTGAAAATTTTTTTGGGTAAGTCACTAGGGAAGACAGGCCCTACCCGTTTTTCAAATAAATCGGGAGTTAGCCTTTTGAAGGTGTCAATAAATGGTGTCAGTGGATCGAAGACCACAACGTGGTAAGTATAGGGGTGCTACCACCATAACTCAGCCGCTTTCCCAACAGTTGAAGAATAAAATTGTGTTATTTTTAAGACATTGGTTTTCAACATCAAAATTCTTTTGAATTTGTTCAAGAAATCATAGAAATCTGCAACATTTGCACTCAGATTTTAGGAGATAATGTTTACACGAAGGACCCAATTTTTATGCGGCCAAGTCCGCATATCTAGAAATGCAAGCCTCTTAATAAATCTTTTTTTTAGACGGATTTGAATATTTAATTTTTAAAGACATGTAATCTCTAACATAGAGATCATGAATATGAAAAAATAAATAAATTTTAAAACCTAGAAATAATAATTCTAGTAATAAAACATTTGGACAGTTAGTTTCCATTGTTTTTAGATCGAACACCTACTGGCATCCATCTTTAAGATCGAAGCTTTACACTTTCTGGACCACATATGTAGAAATGCAGTCCAGGGCGCATGAAACATTTTTGAAAAACTACAAATAAACCCCAAGAAGGGGCTTCCTATACAACTTACCCCCAACCAAGGCTTGTGATCACTTTTTACCCCAAATATACTTTGTTAACAAATACCCCCCAACCACAAAAAATAAATAAAAGAAAGATTAAACTAACCTCCCTTGACTTTTACCTTGGCCTCTCTCTCCTCTTTTCTTGGATAAAATCCTGTTTGAAAGATCCTTATGGCGGTCTGACACTTTTGTTCCTAGACAAATATGTGGTCCGACAAATCTATAAGGCGGTCCGACACATGCAGTTCCAAAGATCTATAAAGAGGTCTGGCAAACACTTTTTTTAGTTTAGTTGGGTTCGGCAATTGGTACATAGCGGTTTGAAAACCCATGTAGCTTTTAGTACTATGTGTAATCTCACATGAACATCCGACCAAAATAAATTTTTTATATACAGAAAAAGGTATTTTTGTTAACAAAAATATGCATTTCCTTAATCTGCCGGTATTTACTAAGAAAGTATATTTTACGGTAAGAAGTGAGAAAAAAAATTAGATACGGATAAGGTACCTAAAATGTTTGTTCTTGGGGGTTACTTGTAATTTTCGAACCAATTTCTTCGCACAAACTACTTACAAAGTATTACGAGGTGGGACCATGGTGTGATAACCGAAAAGTGGCCCCTTTCAGTCTTTAAGTTAAAGTTAGGGGTAATTTGGTTAAAGTTTTTTATTCTTTTGTCTTTGTGCAGGGGAACTGAGAGTGTGCACGTGCAAATAACGGCACGTGTAATGGATAGGTAGGCACATCGTGGAGATCTAGCGGTGGAACCGATGCGTCGCGCGCTGGTCGAGATCTCAGTACACGCCACGTGGACAGTTAAAGTCTTTATTGCTGCACTCGCTTCAAATAAATCACAACCGTCAAATAATCAATTTGAAAACATGCTACATGTGTGGAAGGTGCCCTAACTCTGGTTCAAGTGCCACCATCTGCCGTTGATCACTACAATCGCCCGGTGCAGGTGAGCAGCTGTTTCGCTGGCAGACGGGTTTATAACGGCAGCTCTTCACGGCCATCGGTATGTAATATAAACGGTAGATTGCCAGTCTAGAGTATAATTACCTGTACCCATGCTTAGCTGGCTTCTCGAAGGCCAATTAATTTGGACCACCTATATTAAGATGACTTAATAATAAACAGAACTGCGGGTGCATGCACTTGGGACCTGGACTTTATCACGGTTACGGCGGCTGCCATATCAAAGAACTTGTTAGTAAAATAACGAAAGGTTAAGGGCAAAACAATAAAAAATAAAAATAAAAGTAAATATGGGAGAACAAGGAATAGGGTTTGGGCTAAAGTTTAGCTGAAGTTTTAACAGAACTGCATCTCAAGTTCGATTCCTACCGCTAAATTAGTTGAAAGAAATAGTAATTTGGTATGTCAAGGTTAATAGAAAGGTTTTGCACAATTTCATAAGGAAAATGGTTTGGGAGGGTTGCAGCCCTATTAAAATAAGTATTACTTCACCTCACAACTCATAAAAAATTACAAATCAAGCATTATAAAACTTTTACAATCGATCACCTCGGCTTGAACATTATGGTTGTAAAAAAAAATTAGGATTTTAAGCTATAAATATGGTGTATATTGTAACCAATTATCTAAACCGTCTATTTCACCTTAAAAATAAGTATTCATAAATCCACAAAGTCTACACCATTTTTTGAGTTTCAAATTTATTGTCGATGTTGAAAATTGATTTTAGATCCATGCCTAGGCCTTATAGAAACTTCATCCTTTTTATAAAGGAAAAAATTTAAATAAGGTTGCAAACCTTGTACTATAAACGTAAGGTACACATCAAAAATCCATTAGAATATAGTGATTTAAAGTTGGAAAACCATCATTTCAACCTTGAGATATATGGATATAAAGAAAAAGAAAAGAATTTAAAATCCAAAAAGTAGCGCATCTTGTAACACATATTGACTATGTATTTTCAAGATTTTCAAGTGTGATATGCATTGTTTTCAGATTGTTAAAATTCATAATTAAAGTTGAACATAGATTTTTCAAGCCATCATAAGGTTTCAGACGCTAAACTATATCTTCAAGCAAGATTTAGAAGTGTGCTTTACTTGTATAATATAAGGTGGGCATTTTATACAAACCTCACTATTTTATAAAGTTAAATTCTTGGAAAATTATCACATATATCCCTCATAGTTGCCCATATTTCAAATTTACCTTTATTTTTTGTTTAATATATCTATA